AGATGGAGATGGTTAATGAATTTTTCAATTAAAATTAGGAACACTTAGACAAGTGCAAAGAAGTCCATTCAGTTCACCAGGAAAAGACAAAATTTCAGTCAAGCAAGTCGAATTGATTACTTTTTAATAAAAAAAAGACTTTGTACCTAATACAAAATTAAGTGATATTAGACCCGCATTAATAAGAAGTATAGACCACCAAGGCGTATCTCTCAAATTACAAAGCGTAACTGCCGAAAGTAAAGGCCCGGGATACTGGAAATTAAACAATTCTATTCTAGAAGAAAACGAATATTGTAAAGAAATAGAAATAATAATTGCAAAATATAATAGATATAAGAAGTTGTGGTATGAGTGACAATGAGACAACTCTCCATCCAAGTCAAAATTTATAAAAGTAAACCATTATAGGTCAAAGTACGGTCTTCAACACGGAACCTTGGCTCACACCGAACAGCAAGCTATAAAGGGCCCCAAAAGTTACTAGTGTTAAACCATTCAAACGGGAAAACCAACGGTCTAATCGATATAAAAAAACGAGAAACGAGAAACACTTATGAACCACATCAACAAACGACAACTACTGAACATCAGAATATAAGACTATCATACAAGACACAACTATGGATTTTCATCTTCTTTGGGATGCGATAAAACTTGATATTAAACTGTTTACCATAAACTATTGCAAAAGTAGAGCATACAATAAAAAAAATGAAATAAAACAATTGAAAAAAAAATTAATTATTTTAACTGAAAAATATCAGAAAAATGAAAACAATGATGTATTGCAAAAATAAATCAAATTTAAAATCAGTTAGAAAAGCACCATAATGGGAATATATTAGGAGCACTGCAATAAAAAATGAATTATCAAAACATGAAAGTCAGACGTGCGACGGATATGTTACAATAGAAGAATTAACACTAGCAGTTAATTTAAAACCCAATAAAAGCCCAGGTAAAGATGGTATCACGACAAATTTTTATAAAATAATTTGGCAATCATTAGGTTCAATCCTTGTTAACATTTTTAATACAAGCTATGACAGGCAAAAGTTACCATTTTCCCAAAGACAAACTATTCTTAGTCTAATATACAAAAAGACTGATCCACTAGATCTTTCAAATTATAGGCCAATTTCCTTATTGAATTCAGATTATAAAATATTATCATACACATTAGCTCAAAGAATAAAAAATGTACTAGATCTAATTATAAACGCAGACCAAACAGGGTATATAAAAAACGATATATTGGTTTCAATCTCAGACAAATACTAGATATCATAGATTACGCCGACAAATTTAATGTTGAAGGTGCAATTTTGTTTCTAGATTCTTCAAAGGCATTTGATACTTTAAAATGGTCCTTTATGTACCAAACTCTCGAACATTTCGGCTTTACTAGTTCATTTATTAACTGAATCAAGACGTTATATTCTGATATAAATAGCTCAGTGTTCAATAATGGATGGATTTCTGCACCAATTAGTCTAAAAAGGGGGTACGTCAATGATGTCCTTGGTCTTCCATGATCTTCGTGATCGCAGTAGTAATCATGGCATGTAAATTAAGAAATGATAATAACATTAAAGGCATTGAAATAAAACTTGACCGTTCAAAACATAATTTGAAAATTTCCAGTTAGCAGATGACACCACTTTGTTTCTCAAATCAAACAATGAAATAATAGCAGCATTAAACGTTATTGAAATATTTGGCACTTTTTCTGGTCTTAAATTAAATAAAAATAAAACGGAAGGCATTTGGATAGGAAAACTAAAAAATTGTAAAGATAAAGTAGATAATATAAAGTTCACAGATAAACCCGTTAAAGTGTTAGGCTTGTATTTCGGTACAAATAAAACAGAATGCGCCAAACTAAATTGGGAAAACAAGTTTGAAAAAGCAAAAAACTTATGAAATCATGGGAAAAAGGACATCTTACTATCATCGGTAAAATTTTAATAATCAAATCACTTATAATTCCACAGCTCACATATTAAGCAAGTACGACAGTCATAAATAAAACGTATGTTTGCAATTTAGAAAGAGAAATTTTTAATTTCATTTGGGACGGAAAACAAGATGAAGTAAAACGATCAGCTCTAATATCAGATTACAGCAAAGGAGGACTCAATATGATTGATATCGACAGTTACTTTAACACACTTAAAGTTAAATGGGTATCAAGATTAATGGAGTCAAAACATGAAAATTAGTCAATTATTCCAAGATTCTTTTTGGATAAATATGGTGAAAACTTCCTTATCTTTAAAATGAATTTAGAAATTAATAATTTAAAACCACTTAAAATTACAACTGGATTACCAGAATTGTATCTAGATTTTGTAAAATGCTGGATACTTAAAGGTGGAGGTCAAACAAAATCGCCCACTAACTTTAGAAAAATACGCAAAGAAATTATATGGGGTAATAAAAAAATAAAAATAAAAAGTAAACCATTATTGATATTTACCTGGATCAACAGCAATATAATCTATATTAATGATCTTATTGACGAAAACGGTCAAATCGATGAAAAGACAATACTGCGAAAGTTAGAAATAAAACACAACTGGATAGCCGAACTATCAATACTAAAAAAAGCTATACCAAGGAGTTGGACAGATATCCTAAAAACAAATAACTCCGTTAAAACCCGAGTTAATATTAACGAAAAAACAATTAGAATGCATAAAACAGAAATAAATTTATCAGACCTAGACAATAAAACCGTCCATCAATATTTTATAAAAAACAAAATAACTCCTAACATTGGAATAATAAAATGGCAAAAAATATTAGACGCAAAACCATTACAAATTAGACAATCCTTATTATAACTTTGATAGGTTTCTCAATTTACAAATCATTATACACATCAGAACAAAGAATAAAATTCGCCGACATATACAATATCTTCAAAAACGAAATTGAATTATACTTTGAAGTAAACAGACATGTACGGTGACCTATAGTTGTTAATTTCTGTGTTATTTAGTCTCTTGTGGAGAGTTGTCTCATTGGCAATCATACCACATCTTCTTTTTTATATGTGAAAGAACGCAAAAGTAATTTAATTCGCAAATTTCAAAAATCTCTGTAAAATGTGCTAGATTAAGACATATATATATTGTTTATGTATTATATAGTATTTATATAGTTGTGAAGCATAACGTATAGAACAATAACTAATGTATCTATAAAACAAGTTGCTTTAAAAAAAAATACAATACGTGAACCTTAAAACTTTTTTTATTCTAATTATTAATTCAACTGAATAAGAAATTATATACCAGTGTTATCTTGACCATGTGTGTGGAGGATAATATTTTCTTTTTATTGTAAATCATTACAATTTTGGCATGTTGAGAGAAGTGTTAAATATAAAGCAAGGAGAGAAAAAAAAAAGAATCCCAGACGTATAATTTCTTAAATAATAATAACAATTCAAAACATGGAGGACACATGTACCTTCTTCCAAAAATTCATAAAATTAATCTAGAAATAAGTAATGAGGCATTGCGAACTGGTCAGCTAGCAGGACACATTAATGTTCGTTACCGACCAATCATCAATAAGTGTAACTCTCCCGCGAGAGATGCTTACTTGATCTAATTATAAATATAAAAAAGAAGATGTGGTATGATTTCCAATGAGACAACTCTCCACAAGAGACCAAATGACACAGAAATTAAAAAAATCAATAAGATCATCACATGCATTATATTATCCTTCAATCATGTCAGGTTACGATTATTTGATCACACTGTACACAACTACGATTTTTCTAAACGAGTAAAATATGTGTCAGGTTGATTGTATAAGGATGGAAAAGTAAAGGTCAAATTCGGAACAAAAAATACGTAAATACAAATTTAATAAATAATTTGCAATTATATATGTTTATATTATAGTATATTTGTATTTTTGGTAATTAACTAACAATTATAAAGTGAAACTTATCTTTAAGACACCCTGATCTTAAAGATATTAATATACCAGGGTACCTTGTTTGTGAAAGCTGTAGCAATAAGGTAATTGTAACAGCTTAAGATCAATAAATCAATACACCTTATCGCTATTTAGTCCAATCCGGAAAAAACAGTCATTTAGACAACTTCCTGTTTGGGTCAACAGGGTAAACAACAAAGGTCATCAGTAACGAGCTGAGGGAGGAAAAAATTTAGAAAGCGATCAATAGGAAACTTTGATAGATAATGATCCACTTTTTCGAAACTCAAATTATAGTCAAGAAAAATATTTTGTGTGATTGATTGTTGGTGTTTTAACGCCACTTTTAAGCGCCACTTTTGGGCTATTTCGTGGCGGCCAGTTTTTATTGGTGATGGAAGCCGGAGTGCCGGGAGAAAACCACCGACCTTCGATAGGAATATTTTGTTTGAAGTATTTACGATGTTTTAAACAGGTCTAATTAAAAAGTATCATGCATGGTGCATTGCTTAAACAGGGCCCCAGATAGCTTCAACTGGATGAAAAAGTTGTGTAATTTTAGAACTTATCCAGAAGGGAATAAATAGCGATAAGGTGTATTATCATAGTCTAAAAAATTAAAAAGAAGTCTATCCCTTTCAAAAAAGTAAGTAATTGTTCTTGGAGGCATTCATGCATGCATAAAACATGTGTGTGTTACATTTTAATGTTGTGTTTCTGTTGTGTCGTAGTTCTTCTCTTATATTTGATGTGTTTCCCTCAGTTTTAGTTTGTAACCCGGATTTGATTTTTTCCCAATCGATTTATGAATTTCGAACAGCGGTATACTACTGTTGCCTTTATTTATCAAACCCATCTATTTCTCAGAATTTAACTCTCAATTTGTTTTTTGTATTCTTCAAACATTTTCCCGGTGAGATTTGATATAATTGGAATTATATTAACGCCAAATTGAAGGTATCAACCTGCAAAAATAATACCCTACTAGTATTTGCGTTACAAAATTTATGGTTCTTGTTACATTTGTCCTTTAGTTTTGTCATCTTGGGCAAACTGCTGACAAAGACTGTGATGGCCATACAAACGAAGAACTGTGTACGTTACGTGGATATCATTTTGGTAAGTTCATATGATATTGATGCTCATCAATTCAAAACAATCATGTACCCATCAGGTTTTATAATGAACAATTACTTGTGTGACAAAAATGCAGTTTAAGCATAAGATAGTATTTGTAGTTAAATTGTAATCATTATAAATGATCATAAATTACCCGTTTGAACAATACATTACCAAAACTTCATTGAGAATCATCCCTTGGTTGCTATGAGACTCGTTGTTGTAGGCTGCTCTCTTCGAGGTCCGCGCTATAGGTATATAAAGACACCGATACATTATGGGAGTTCGTTCTTTTGTCATTTGGCTGGTGATGGTTAAGCATCAGAAAGAGAATACCAGCAAATAAAGAAGGTCTAACTGTTTGTGAACCAAGTTCGAGTTGAAAGCTTGTAGTTTGAAGTAAGCGGTTTAGAAGTCTTTACGATTATTGCAGGCTACCGAGTTGTTCTGAAACTGTAATTTCCCACGGGAATGGTCGCAGTCCCTCAAACAGGTAGCTTGTAATAGTATGGTGACTTCGGTGCTTTGGAGGCTATGTGTCTAAGGGACTAGGAGTCTCGGAGACTAGGTGTCTCAGGAACTAGGTGTCTCGTAGACTACTAGGTGTTTTAGAACTAGTTGTCTCAGGAACTAGGTGTCTCGGAGACTAGGTGTCTCAGAACTAGGTGTCTCAGGAACCTATGGTTTTGAAGCTTGTTCACTGTTATAGTTTTTGAAAGATTATAATTGTTTAGCAAATCAGTTGGAACCTCGGAGTCAGTGAAAGAATTAAGGATAAATTGAGGTTATAGTTTTTAGACTACTTTTTGATACAAAATTAATTGTGTATAATTTTCTTGTTTCTTTGTTAAGTTTCAAAGTTTAAAGGTTGGTCTTGTAGTTTTTAGTAAAGCCTCAAGTTGTAGTTAGGTTTTGAGTTCAATAAAAGATTGATATTGGAGTATCTCAGATTCTGTGAAAACGGATACGAACAGATAGTTTATAAAACAAACACGTTACACTTGTTGCCAAAAATGAACAGAAGCAAATGCTTTAAATTGTCAGTACTAAAGGATCAAGAAATAATCACCTGAATCGGATATCCGCATTACTGGTACTGGCTGTGATTCTGGAACCATTTTGATCACGTAAATTCAAGAAAGTTTTGAAAACCTGTTACAAAATAAACCGCATCACAGTCAAGAAGGGCCAAAGCAGAACAGCACACATCGTCAACTCTACTGTAGACGATCAGTCTTACTGTTTGTACGTGTTTAAGTGTAACTTTAAAATTTACAATACATTGTATCATTTAAATTATATCAGTTCCAAATGACTGATAACTGGATGATGATATATCGATTTCAGCCTAAGAGAAAGCGCGAAAGATATGTGCGTTGTAGATAATTTTAAAAGGATGTGTTGAATTCGCTACAGCATAATATGATATTGATTCCAACTTTTGATTTGATTGCATTGATACATGCTGCAATTGTTCTCAGTCGGCAGCTTTTGATAAACGGTAAAAGATTTTAAATTGAAAGACATTTTTTTCTAATTTTCTTCACTAATTTTAGCTGATCTACTTTTTTCTGGACCAGCGTGATGTATTGATATTTTGTAAAACATGTAATATGCAAACTAAAGTTGCAAATCACTCAGTAAATGGTAGTCTGCGACTGTTTTTTGCAAGCTAAGATTGTTAAGGCCAATTCTCAAACTTGTTTGTTTTATTTGACTTCCCAAGCTCTTAATCCTGATGGTATCTAATTCGGGAAATATGTATAGTGAACGCATAAACCATCGGTAATATAAGTTAGTTAATAGTAATACCTATACAACCAGATGCTTATAACATAACTGCGAAATTTCATCCTGAAAAAATTGAAGTCTCTAATGAATCATGGAAAATACATAAACCGTTGTTTGTACTACTTTTGTTATTTATTAGTTCCTGAAAAGTACAACTTTGAAGTTGGAAAGTACTTACCCGATTTTGACCTTGACGGTAATTATGATGAAGATTGTGCCTACATTGTTCCAGGTCAGTAATCAATTTAATTTGGTTTAATATTTAAATTTATTATGTATGTTTACCCAATTTTGACTATTTGGTCCAACTCATTGTCACAATAACCAATTTAGTCTGTTTGGGTTGCTCGCACAAGTTTGTCTAAAGGATCTATATACAACTGTAATACAAGTTCGAGGTTTAAGTAGCTATAAAAACCAGTTTTAATCAACTATTTTCGTCAGAAAATGCATAAAAATGTAAGGAATATGATATTTGTTATCCAGTCGTTCCGTTGATTGATATAGTCGAGCCTAGAGAATATAATAAACACGTGTCAACACCACATATCAAGCTCTAATATCGTCGAGGGTAGACATAATTGAAGTAAATTTAAACGATACCCGCCTGTATCGCTAAATTCGTTAACAGACATAGACACAAAAAAAAAACATTGAAGAGGTTCATGCAAGCAGACTTGGGACAGGCACATGACATTGAAAGAAATTTACAAAATTAGTACTTATAAAGAAAGCAGAAGGACATATATATTTAGAAGAATTTACTTTACAAAATCGGTATAAAAGTCGACACATACAAGCGACATAACATTTATTTTTTTTCTCTATGATTGAGATGTCCGCTTTTTCTCCTTCTAATTAAGTGTACATTTTTCAGTCCATTCAAACTATATACTGTTGATTTATTTTTTTCAATGGTACGAATTTTTGTGGATTGGGAAAAACTTTCATTTTCGTGGAAATTTGATTTCGCTGTTTTACCAAAGTCTGCATACAAGCCTTTTGTAAATTTTGACCATTTCAAATTCGTGGTTTACCTGTACCTACGTAATCCACAAAAATTCGTATTGCACGAATAATAATGAATTCATAGTATATGAAAACTAATCAAGCTTACAGGGTATAACATATGCGCGGTCGTTTTGATCGACATAAATATGTATAGTGGATTGTTATTTCAACATAATACGGTATTCTAAAATGTACTTCGATATATCTGTGTATAACTATCTCTATTCGAGTCGTTACAATCCCCTTTACAAGCCTTGTCAACATTTATTTATATTTTTATTCCGTACTTGCATAGAATTTTCTTGATTTACGGATGTTTAACTGTTATATGATGAAAAATATATCATACAAAAAATGTGGACTACCACACAAACTGTTCGAAATGGGAGACTACTTAAATTTACTCCCAAATAATTTTCAGTACAGAACTAGTCAAATCCGTTTGGAGGCAACTCTTGATATTCATGCCATTAAAGGCAAAGGAGAAACAATTTACGGTTTTAAAGAATACAACTGGCGTACGGAAACGACTCCAATATATATAGTTAAACACAGATATGCCGAAGTAGATTTTTTTTGTAAAATACAAAATATATGATAAAAGAATATGAATTAGTCATAAAATTCGAGAATATTAAGTACAATGTATTTAAACTATTGTTTGGAGCAGAGTCTGCTGATCCAACTGAAGCACCTGAGTTCACCCTGGTTTTTCATGGGGTTTGTGTTGCTCAGTCGTTTGTTTTCTATGTAGTGTTTTGCAGACTGTCGTTTGTCTTTTCGTTTTTTTTTCATTATGGCCAAGGTTTGGTCAGTTTTTCTTTGACTGATAATCTTTTATTTTACCCTTGGTATGGTATTGCCTCTTTTTCATACTTTTATTTATGTACATGTATCAATTTATTCTTTATTTTGATTTTCAAGTGCCCATGTATTTTATAGATATTCTTTATTTAGTTTCACTTTACATCGATTTATATTTGTTGTTAAAATCCTACATTTCATTTGCATTAAAATTTGTTCTCTAGACTGCCGTAAACCGGTGATACCAAACACAACAATATCAGACTATGCAACAGGTTCACACACATATGTAACATCGACGTTTTCAAAGTTCAAATGTGAAGAAGGATTTACTATTGCTAATACATCTGTGACTGAAATAGAGTGTCATGCAGACGGAATATGGATGCCTGAGAGGATATGTGTTAAAGGTATTCTTTATTCTTTAATCATTACAAGCACTAATTTCGTTGTACAGTACGTGTTTAGGTTCATCATAACAAATGGACAAATATGGTCGTATTTTCACCTTAAAAACTACTCTGTGTACAGACTTACCTGTGCAGTTTGGAAAGTTTTAAGGCCTGGCATCCACTAGATATATAAAAGTTAAATTTATTTTGCTTATCAGAAAGATAAAATCTTTTTTGGATTATGATGGGCATTTTTTTCCTTCCTGCAGAAGGTGTAAAAATAAACAAACACCTGAATTGCATTTGATACTGTCTACTCAGTTACTACCTTTAACTCACCTTTAGATGTGTAGATATCTATTGTCCATGCCAATCAAGGACAATCAATACAATACAACTCAGTTGTTACCTGAGAGGGAGCATCTCAAAATTATATCCCAACTTAGTTTATTTTTACACCTTCTGCAGGAACGGAAAAAAATGCCCATCGTAATCCAAAAAAGATTTTATCTTTCTGATATGCAAAATAGATTTAACTTATATTAGAAAGTCCCTGGTCTGTACAGAGTAGTTTTTGAGGTGAAATACGGCCATATTTGTCCATTTGTTATGATGAACCTTAACAGGTCTGGTAATAGGACTGAACATCATGGAATGTTGATTACTACTTTAATATGTATTAGACATTTTTATAGTTTGTTCTTATGTTGTACTGTTACACCACTGTGCCAGGTTAAGGGGAGGGTTGGCGCCTTCACACGAGTTTAACCCCGCCACATTCTGTATGTGCCTGTCCCAACGTCAGGAGCCTGTAAGTCAGTGGTTGTCGTTGTTGCTGTGTAATATATCTGTTTTTCGTTCATTTTTTTGTACATAAATAAGGCCGTTAGTTTTCTTGTTTGAATTTTTTTTAAATTTGTCATTTCGGGACTTTTATAGCTGACTATGCGTCATGGGCTTTTCTCATTGTTGAAGGCCATGGTGACCCATAGTTGTTAATTTCTGTGTCATCACTTGTGGAGAGTAAACAATCATACCACATCTTCTTTTTATATTAAACCTAAATTTAATAATACTGTGAATATTTTAATTAAAAAATTGTAATATATCCAAACTATTTTTCTCATACAAGTTATTTGAACGAAGACCATTTAGCGTTACTTATGAATTAGCCAACCAATGATCTGAAATATTACATCTCAATCATAACAGTATTGCGTGTGTGTTAACATGAGAGAATAGTACCTCAATAAACTCATCAAGTCGTCATTTCGCCAGTAATAACGGAGGATTTGTTTATTCCTCTATTAATCTGAATTAATAATAATGTATTTATATCACTTGAAAAAGTACAATGTATTAAGGAAAACCATCATAGTTTTATTTGAAATGTATACACTTTCGAAATTCTTGACTAAAGAAATTTGTAATGTGCCGCGCTAATGGATTTTGCTTTGTCCATGACGTCTTAAAGCGATGAGGTTATATTCCCGCAAAAATAACAATAACAAAAAAAACCAAAATAATAGAATAATGAAAAACATAAGATAAAACACATAATATAAAAAACAAACAAAAAACTCCCTAAAAACAATAAAATCTCGGAAGTTTTCCATTTTGAGGCAAAACATTCAGCAAATGGGCCATTTCAAAGATTTTGGTGACAATATGACAAATGTATATCTTTTTAAAAAAAATTTTTTAAATAATATGTCAGTAAATTAAAGATATATATATATATATATATATATATAAAAGGAGATGTGGTATGATTGCCAATGAGACAAATATCCACCGAAATTCAAATAAAGTGGATGTAAGCAATTATAGGCAACCGTACGGCCTTCAACAATGAGAAAAACCCATACCCGTATAGTCGGCTATAAAATGCCCCGACATGAAAAATATGAAAAAATTCAATTAGAAAACTAATGGCTTAATTTATAGCAAAACAATTTACGAAAAAAAAATATGACAGACATGAACCGACGACAACCACTGTACTACCGGCTCCTGACTTGGGACAGATAGACACATACATAATGTGGCGGGGTTAAACATGTTTTTGAGCGCTCAACCCTCCCATAACCTGGGACAGTGGTGTAACAGCACAACATCAGAACAATTAAAAGTCCTGGTAATAGGACCGAACATCGTGGAATGTTGAATAATACTTTAATATGTATAGGGACATTAAATCTTCATTTATTCATACTGTGAATATGCTAAATAAAAAGAAGTAATATATCCAAATTATTATTTCTCGTACATCTCAATCATAACAGTATTGCGTGTATGTGAAACGAAGAAAAAATATATGCTTATTTTAATTCTTCTAGTCAAACATACCACGGTTGTTTGCAAAATCTTATAAATATCCGTGCTATGCTCCATTTCCATATGACTTGACTTTAATCAGAAAAACATGACAGAGAGGTTTTAAAAACGAAATATCCATATAGCCATGATGAAACAACAGAATTCCGTATTCATGCAGTGGACCTCAAAGTACATCTTGTTCATTTAACGTCAATTAAAGATCTGATTAATAGTTTATTTTACAACTCTAAAACATCAAATCACCGAACTAGTTATTGACAATTATATTTCAACACATAGCCTGAGAAAATGTGCAAGTTTGTTAAACAATATTTGCGACCCATCATACCCTGATAAAATTCGAACAATAATTTAATATTTGCAGACTGTCCAGATCCATCCACAGTTTACAATAACTCTGTGATAGAAAATGGTACATCATGGGCCGTGAGCAGCAGTGTCCGCATGGATTGTGATAATGGTTTTACATTGATCGGTCATGATGTTCTTGAGTGTACTGAAAACGGAACATGGACAATAAACGTGTTTTACTGTATTCCAGGTATATTTCATCTATAATTTGCACATATATGTACATTGTAAGTTACAATAAAGATAATAGTATTGATGAAGAAATTGAATTGCATATCAGCAAAATATAGCTTGACTTTTCATTTGAAAGCGATTTCACCGTTTCTAGAACACTTTGTTTGTGATTCTATGTAACATTATTTATTTTGTGCACAAGTGCATGAATCAAACAGACCTTGCATGAACTGAGTTGAGACGGCCTTAAAATTCTAAATATATATTTGCATTTATGTTTGTTTAATTATTTCTTTTGTTTTGTTTATATATAAAGAAAACAGTTAAAAGAATATTTCTTATGTATAAAAGAATTTGGAATAATTTAAATACTATCTATGAATAACTTTTTTAAACACATGTTACTAATGTTGGTTATATACGTTATCACGTCAAAATTGTGTTGATTTCTCAATATAGTTCTTGCATGATTTTGTGATTAGTTAATATTATTTAAGTAATATATTTCGATAATTACTTAAGATTTTTTCTTGAAAAGGTGAGAGAGCTAGGATTTAATATTGAGTGGGAAAAGGGCATCCCCTCTAACGTTTTTTAATCAACAACTGCAGATTTTTTTTATTAAAGAAATACATTCTAAAATATTGAACTGAAAAATATTGCCGATGAAAAAACCTGCAATGTCTAGAAATGTTTGAATAAAAAAAGCAAGAACAATTGTCATATAATCATAGTAAATTGCACTGACACTCTTCCTCGAAAGTTTACCAGCGTATTTTATAATTTGACCCTTTCTTCGTACTTTTATTATTGGTCAAATCTCTCATACATGTGTTAGACGATTTTTGTGAAAATGCCGGAATATAAGAGTTGTAAAGACAATAAATATTTCAAAATGTGAACAGCGATATTTAATGGTTTTAAAGGATGTGAAGAATTGATACTAACTGTTAAAAAAGATTATACAGCAGTATTGTCTTTACCAAATATAGTAAAAAGTGATATTTCGTGCACTAAAGATAGAGAATGGAAACGGGGAATATATCAAAGAGACAAAACTCCGACGAAAGAGCAGAAAACAATCTCAAGGCCACCAATGGGTCTTCAACGCATCGAGAAAATGTAGATTTCATGTCGTGTCACTTTTCTTCACAATTTGGGGTTCGCTAAGGCATGAAAATTCGTTTTACATTTTGTATAAACATTTTCATAGCTATAATTGTAGCCATTTTTAGCTGCAGTTTAAAAACAATATTAGGTTAATGTCAGAATAATATCAACGTTTTTATTTTATTTGGCACGAAACAGTTTCTAATCCTCATACAGAAAAGAAAAGTTGATATTTTTCTGACATCCACCTAATATTGTATATTTGTTGGTTACCTATAGTACACAGAAATGTAATTAATTGTCTACTATTGATATGTATCTTTGACAATTTTGAGTAACTTTCACAGTCAGATTTACTATTTATGTTTCAGACCCCGCAATAAAATTTATAGTTTTATTTTAATTTCATCATTAATATATTATTAATGAGGTTAATTTTGTCTGTAAAAATGGCTCTTACTTTTTTATGTTTTCTAAGAGCCTTCCCTTAAAATTCCAACCAATTCATTCTATATCGTATTAGTAATATAACAGGCGAAAATCAAACAGATTATAAATGTGCTTTATATTTTAGCTTCTTTTTGCCTTTGCAATTTCAGGGGAAATAAATCTAAATTACAACCGTTCGTTGAACGGTTACTTGCAACGGTTGCTTGAAAGCATTATCGAGTACACACAATATTGTTTGCTATAAATACGAAATAAATCCAGATGAAATTATTACCAAGTTGCAGCTAAAAATTCCTCGAAATACTTTTGATTATCATTCATAAAACATATGCTGACATGAAGTGTATACATCATTTTTTTTCAAAAGTTCGTACTACAGTTGGTACGGTAGCAAATCGGGAATCTCTACCTGGCGATAAATAAACCCACGAAAAAGTTATAAAAACTTTTATCTTAAGCTGTATTTAAAAAAGAAATGATATTCAAGGAAAATTGTATAACGCTATGGCACAATCTATTTTGTTTCCTGAATCAAACATTTTTTTGTCGTATAATTCCATCGAAATGACAATTAAAGAAGTATTTTATTAGTCCTGTCTTATATATATAGCTTGCTACTGTTTAACACTTATTTTCAAAATTAATGTGTTTTATCTTTTTAGACTGCATATTTATTTGTACATCTTGCACATCCATACGACTTTTTGTACAAATAAACTTTTCATTTAACTGACACCCATTACAACATCCATGTTTTCCCAAGAATGACGTTTACATTATTAAAATATGAGGTCAATAGTACAACATATACTTCAATTGCACTCATTAAATCCTTTCGAATATAAAAAAAAAATGAGTTTTATAAAATATTGTTAACCGTTCTAAAACAACAGGGAATTTCGAGAAACAAAACTTAGACTTTTTTTTTGCATTACAGAATATGGTCACCATCCTCATTCAAAGTACCTTAGAAATTAGAAATTTAATTATCTTGTGTCAAAGTCTTATAGAGGTGGACAGCTTCTAATTACTTATACAAAATGCAATGGGTCAATCAAAATAGCACTTTATACATTTCGTGCGTTCGATGCGCTTTTCTGCCCCAAGAACACTCAAAACTAACAATTCGAAAGCCAAGAATGTATAAGTACTTGAACCATGAGGAGCTATACGACCAAAAGGGCCGATAAAGAATACATTAAGGTTAACTTTGCCTGAGGGAGTTGTAACCTTAGTTCCTAAATAATTTCTAAATGTATCAAGGTATGTTAAAAAATCATGACAGTACCGAAGTACTGACTACTGAGTTTATGACCCACAAGGATTAGTAGTCCACCAGAACCATCCACCCAGTGTTAGTAAAGGACTTTCATGCATTCGAAGCGGTTTACTGGAGGTACCTTCATCAGGAACACTTAACCCCAAAATTTGTAAACAAAAATTTTTTGAGTACTTAACCATGTGAGGAGCTGTTAGACAAAAAGGGACTGAAAATAAGAAATGATACACAAATGGAAAATAAGGAACTTTTAAACTTATAATAACATAAACCATAGGGATAAGACAAACTTTAGAATCAATTAAGATTTTGAAATGGAAAAGCAAAAAAAATAAATAAAGACATAATAAACTTAGTTTTTCAAATTTCTCGCAGATTTAATCAACAAGTTCATTGTTTGAAACAATATATAATAATAAAATGTTCTTATCTGCTTACTAAATAAATAATTTTATGTTGGTCAACATTATACCAGTCAAACTTTGGATTTTACAGATTGTGTCGACCCAGTAACAATATATGCTAACTCGGTTATGGAAAATGGAACATTATGGGCTGTTGGTTACAACGTAACAATGGCATGTATGGACGGGTTTACATTACTTGGAGACAATATTCTAAAATGTACCAATGACTCAATATGGTCAACGGATGTGTTTCATTGTGCTGCAGGTAAGAATCAGAAGACAGAATGGATTGTCATTCTAATTTGTGAAGATAATGGTCCTGTTATTGATTATTTGATGCGTACGCATGCGCTTCAAAAAGAAAATTAAATAAGACATATTGTTGAAAATAGCAGTTGAAGTTTGTGTTCTTTTTTCCAAGAAAGTGTGCTTGCGACATATATGTTGGCGTTTTAAAAGATGTATGCAGACCAGGAGACACTTGCCCTGTCTCGTTGTTTTTAGCGTTCATGCGATTCACTCGGTTTTTGTTTGTAACCTTGATTTGTCTCTTCCTAAACGAGTTATGCGATTTATACATCGGCAAACTACTGTCGACTTAATTCAAATATTTCCAAGATACGTTTAAGGTAAAATGTTATATTTTATATTATTATCTAAAATAGAATGTATACTCGTCAGTTGATGGATTAATGAAACTTTGTTTCTCTCGTCTGTATACTTAGCAAATAGTGATAAGGACATTGAGATTTTCAATAAACTCCTTTGCATAAGCAGCTCAAAAACTCATGCATTCCAGAATATAATAATTCAAACATATACTTGTTATAGCGTATAATAATAAAAATGAAAATGTCGAAAGAACTGTTCTTTTTAATTACTGAAAAATTACTGTTTAGATTGTACAGATCCAACTCCAGATGTTATATATTCAGAGATGATAAATCCATTCGGACTGTCAACTTTCCCTGTAGATAATGCATACTCTCTCACGTGCATAACAGGATATAGTGTCAACGGAAATTCTAGTATGACGTGTTACACAAATTCTACTTGGTCACAGCCACAGTTTTCATGCGTTCCAGGTAATTTAGTCCAGTAAAGTTACGCATATCAAGAAAACGTAGAAATAGTTTGATAACAGTATATATATTAAATGAAACATTAAGAGAAATGAGTAATTAATCTTAATCGAAAGGCAGAAAATTCAGTAGATATATTTATAAAGACGTTAGATTTAAGGTGGCCCTTCATATACGTTATATTTTGTTAACTATAATTTCAAACACATTAAAATAATTATTCATATTAATTCTTTTCCGTTTCTTTTTCACACAAATAAGATTTTTCAATTCACATGCATTAATAATTAAGCTGCCTGGTTTGTTTTTGTCAGATGCAGAAAAATAATTCAAACAACTTAAATAACATTCAATTGAATTGTTTGATTTTTTCATGTCGGGGCCTTTTATAGTCGACTATACGGTATGGGGTTTTCTCATTGTTGAAGGCCGTACGGTTGTCTATAATTGCTTACATCCACTTCATTGGAACTTTGGTATAAATGTGTCTCATTAGCAATCATACCACATCTCTTTATTTTATATTAAAGCTATTTCAGGTTCTGCACTACTTTGAAGTTATACAATTACCATACTGTCTTGAATTAAAATACAATAAGCGTAGTAATGCTAAAACTAGCAAATGCAAAACAAAAGTCCAAAATAGTCGAAGATTCCTAATTCCAAAACGTTCTACAAATATGACACACACTTGTGCATTTTATAATTCTATTTTGTTTAGAATTTAATACTTATTTATAGTATATTGATATTTTCTCCCTTCATCTACATACCCGTCCTCGCTCCTTTTTGCTGTTCATGTGATTTCCTAAGTTTTGTCACTTGTATTGTACTTCAGAAATGGATAAACGAGATTTGAAAATCGATTAAATACTCTTGCCTCTAATTTATAACTCAACTAAAAATGTGAATCTTTTATTCTGCCATAACAGGTTGTGGGGATCCAAGGAAAGATATATCACATTCAGTTATACTTAATTATACAGAGGGTACACCTTTTGAAGCAGGGATTGTTTTGGTAATGGCATGTAATATTTCAACGACACAGGTGGGAGACGAAACAGTAGCTTGTTTATCGGATAAAACATGGAACAAAACCCTGAAGTGTATTCCAGGTATTTGTCTAATGCAACCATATTTTGAAAAATATACCAATTATGTAAATCATCTTTTCTAACGTTCAAATATTATTAAGGAATGATAATCATTTCCTGTTAGTATTTATAATTCATCATGACGATATGTGTTATAATGCTATTTGCTTATTTACATTGCAGTATTCACCAATGAAAATATGTTGGTTTTTTTCCCATTACGGTACTTGATAAGAATTAAAGAGCTACAAAATTCATCTTGAATGAACATATAGAAACTTGATTTAAGATGAAATTATAGACGGGACTTGCATGAAATCTACGAATGTTAAAATGATTATAGATTAATAAATGCAATGGCCTACTCCGTTTGTTCAAAAAACAACATGCCAAACTTTAATAGACTAGATATTGCAATACCTGCTATATCCATTTCATGTAAATGTTGTGTTTTCACATTTCTGTGCTGGTAGTTTTATTTCTTTTCTCGTATAGTGACATTTTTTTAGTTGAGTATTTGACATATTTGCTGCGGTGTTCACTCTCAGTTTGGGTAATCATCTGTATTGAAATAGTCCGCGTTGTTCAATCTTTTGTTTTCTGTGTTGTAGTTTGGGGCCTGTCGTTTTTCTTTATATTGTCTTTTTAGAATTGCTGTATTAAAATCCCCGTCTGCCTTTAAAAATTACAATGTCTATACCTTTAGACATATTTTAGCTTCAAACTTATTCTCAATAGTATTTATCTATATTCATCAAGAAAATTTATCATGTTATGTTTAATTTTGTACTGTATGTATTTTAAGTTAACTTCTACTTTTGTAGATTGCAGTGATCCAAGATTAGAAGTAGATGTAGAAAACGCGACGTTACCAGGTTTTAAAACTGGTTCAACAACAGCTTACAAATCTCAATACAAGTTCAGGTGTAATTTGAAATACCGAATGATTGGCAACGGTTATATAGTCTGTCATGAAAACTCTACGTGGTCACAGCCTCAGTTTAATTGTGAACGTAAGTAATTATAAAACGCCATTTCAAACAAAAATATATTTGTGACAGGAGTACAAAGTAGGTTGTATTGGTTGTATTGTGGCTTCTTTTGTAGATAAAATGTCAAAATACGATATATTGGCACTTGCACAATATATCACAGTAAAAACCATGATTGATAGAAAATAGTTTTGTTCCTCATGTAAGTACAATCCGGTAATAAGTCTAATTTGACCTCTTATTTCTCAACATAAATATACCATCTGCTCAAACGTTCAGTGTTTACATATCTCGATTCAATCGAGCATGTTCACATTATACAGACTTAACTGCTAGGGGGTGCTCCTGACAAAAAACCTGCTTCCTTATGTTTATGAGGGAGAACAACTCAAATTTACACTTGCAAGGTTTACGATCAACTTCAAGAAGTTGTTGACTGATATGATGTGTTTGGGTTGCAAATCACAAGAGAAATATTTTTTAGGAGTCTCGGATATTTAGATAACACATAAGTCGTCTACTGTATACATTTAATTTTTTTGTCGATTGGGTGACTTTATGACTGAGTGTTGATTAGTATGATTAGTGGTGCTTGCGAAGCAGGAGATGCGTGTCCTTTCGATGCACCCTACCTCGCTCCGATTTCATTTGATGTCTTTAGGTGTATCTCGATTGTATTTATATTCGTAATGGATTTGAACATCGGTTTCCTAATACACCTTATCGCTATTTGTCCGCCATTACTGGACATCACACAGGTTCCCGTAAAATTTTGACGTCATAATACAAAATATCTGACGCCACAATGGAAAACTGATTGTTGTATGACGTCAATAGTTCAAGCGGGACGGATTCTCGGGTCAGCCGGGAATAGCGATAAGGTGTATGGTGCCTCCTCTTCGCTGTACAATTGCTCATCCAAGTTTTTTAGCAGTTTAAAAAGAATAAAGACGATATAGCGAAATGAGTGTATTATACTTTCTATTTACATCTATATCTGATGAAACATCATAGATTTAAAATAGACACACTCTCTTAATACTCTGACGTTTTCAGAAATTATTTAATAAAATGTATTTAGCAACATATTTTATGATTTATTTTAGCTTGTAAATGCCCATGTAGAAGAGTTGGTGTTCCTAGATATACAGAGGTAACACCGGAAGTAGTAAACCAAATACAGGAAGAAACAAGTTTCGACCTTGCAGTGAATGATAAAATTCTTTCAGCGTACATCCGACGGAAAACAAGTGTTCCGAATAAGAAACAAGTTGCCAAATCGATTGGATACGTTGGAGCCATATTTCTTGTAGTCATACTTGGGTCCATAGTGTGTTTGGATATTCCAACGTTATGGAATCACCTAAAACGATTAATCAACACGATAAAAAACATTTACAGATATATGCGTCATAAAATAGCATAACCGATACTATTCCATGATTGATAACTTGATAATACATATAAAATCAACGTGTGAAGCAAGTAAATAACAGTATCAACTACAAATACGTTTTGTATAGAACATCTTTATAATAAAAAATAATAAAAAAGCATAAAATGTATTTTGAATTGGATGCACTAGGAAGCTATAGAATTGACAAAAGTGTAAATTAAAACAATCTGAGAATTAATGTCGGATCTAATTAATTAGATGTATTACCAGTTAACATGGTTAACCTGTCACAAAAACCTTATTGATTTAATAGTATTTTGTTAAAACTTTCAGAAAATGTTTTCATCATTGACAATGCAAAAGACCTTGGGCGATACATGTTAGAGGCGTCCGGACATATGACATAACTTATACTTGCCACAATATTTCTGTGACTTTTACGACTGTAGACAACAATGTATCGTTTTTAAATTTAAAACCAAATACTGCATATCCTGTAACCTTCTGATGAAATTAAAACCTATAAAGTTTCAACAATAAATGTCTCATCATGATGTCTCTTATTATAACCTTCTGCCATTCATACAGAGGCTGTTTAGTATTCATAACATCTACACGAAGATATGTTCACTTAACATTTCGAAATTTCATTTTCTGTACAACTTATGCTTGGAAAACTCTGTTGAAATTCCCAGTACAAACTTGTACATACTGACATCTATCATCTCGCATATTGTCGGTCTCAATCTTTTCAGACCAGTTGGCATTGGAAAAGATGTAATGGAAAACTGATACTGATTTCTAAAATTTTCTTTTGCCAATGAGGAAATCATGAACAATCATACATGTTTTTTTAATATTTCAATGGAATTAAACCAATATGAAGCACTCGATCTTCTGCCACTGTATTATATATCAAAATTACTCAGGTGTACTTACGAACAACAAACAATGCTATATTGATAGGTCTAAAAAATTCTCTGGGAAATCTCTGACTTAATTATTAACATCTATCTATCAGCAATCCCAGCCGGGCGTCGGAGATATTGTACAACTACTTAACTTTAAGGCGGTGTCAGATTAGATCAGATGTATACCTCAACAATTTAAAGATCTGTTCGAGTAAAATTCAATCTTAGTTGTTTGGCTTTATTACTATTTTGATCTGAGCGTCACTGATGAGTCTTATGTAGACGAAACGCGCGTCTGGCGTATTAAATTATAAGCCAGGTACATTTGATAACTATTTACACCACTGGGTCGATGCCACTGCTGGTGGATGTTTCGTCCCCGTGGGTATCACCAGCCCAGTAGTCAGCACTTCGGTGTTGACATGAAAATCAATTATATGGTCATTTTTATAAATTATCTGTTTGCAAAAGTATTAATTATTCGAAATACTAAGGGTTTTCTTACCCAGGCATATATTACCTTAGCCGTATTTGGCACAACTGTTTGGAATTTTGGGTCCTCAATGCTCTTCAACTTTATACTTGTTTGGCTTTATTACTGTTTTGATCTGAGCGTCACTGATGAGTCTTATGTAGACGAAACGCGCGTCTGTCGTATTAAATTATAATACTGGTACCTTTGATAACTAATTAGTCTCTTACCTCTTGCAATAGTATTAAAAGCATTAGACATCTCTCATTTACACTAGTATTATGAGAATTACTCATTCTAAATTTAAAGACAGATTGAATTAGCCCAACTTTGTTCCCCAAAAACAAATGACTATCGTAGATACATATATAGATATGAAGATGTGGTATGAGTGCCAATGAGACAACTATCCATCCAAGTCAAAATATGTAAAAAGCAAACAATTATAGGTCAAAGTACGGCCTTCAACACGGAGTCTTGGCTCACACCGAACAGCAAGCTATAAAAGGCCCCAAAAAGACTAGTGTAAAACAATTCAAACAGGAAAACCAACGGTCTAATCTATAAAAAAAAACGAGAAACGACAAACACTTATGAACCACACTTACAAACGAAATCCACTGAAATACAGGCTCCTGACTTAGGACAGGTGCATAAGAATGCAGCGGGTTTAAACGTTTTATGTCTTGTTTTAGGACGAACTAAATAATGATTTAAAAATAAGATACTATCAAACAAACGGCTTCCTATTGGAAACAACCATGCTTCACTTGTTGTCGACTTGTTACTAGAAGATACTCCGGGAGAACAAAAAGTATCTATTATTAGTCTTTAATCTCAATTTCCGCAATATAGTTTGATGTCCTCTAACTAAACGTTTAAAAGTTTGGTGATTATATGGAACGTATCTATCCTATCGAAATTGAAAAATAAAGTTCAGATTTTGACTTACTTCCAGAAAGAAATTAACAATGACTATTGGTTGACAACTGAACTCTTCGATAAAAGAGATGCGTGATGTTAGTTCTCCAATTGTAATCTCTCTTTTTTTATGTAGTAATATTCCAAAAGTGCTTGCATATGAAGTATAAAATTATAAATTGTGTGCATCCGAATCGCTTTTCTAGATTTCGGGCCTTTTATAGCTGACTATGCGGTATGGGCTTTGCTCATTTTGAAGGCCGTACGGTGACCTATAGTTGCTAATTTCTGTGTCATTTGGTCTTTTGTGGAATGTTGTCTCATTGGCAATCATACCACATCTTCTTTTTATATTATCTTCATAAAGAACGCCCATACGAAAAATATCTGTAGCCAAAGATGTATATGTACCTAAATCACTAAGTTAATAGATATTTTGCAGAGCTTGTGTTTCCTATCGTAATTTCCATGATAGAGGTTGCTGCTTACAAGGAAACTATTAAATCAAGGACACCTAGTGGAAAAATTGAAGTTATCCCTTCGAAAAATTACAGACTCCATTATGATTTTGTTGACCGTTATTAATTATCTGTGTTACAGCTCTCCACAGATATGTTTCAATTGTCATACCAACAATTCCGTCCTTTTTTCCTCGATTGTGACATCTTCGAATAAAACTTGTCAGTGAAGTTGTACTTAGAATTAACAACACGACTGGTCCCATCTGTAAAGCAGGACCTGCATGCCCTCCCGTGTCACCTGAGATCACCACGTTTTTTTTGTTGGGTTCGTGTTGCTCATTTTTTTAGTGTTTTGTAGTTTTTTCATCGTTCTTTGATTTTTGCAATGGTTATGTCGATCTTGCTCTCGACTTATGAGTTTTGATTAATCCTTTGGTATCTTCCACCTCTTTTTCTTCAACATAGATGGACTGTAATTTCTTTTTGCACTATACGCATTATAAATGATTGTCAGCTTGGACTTTCTTAGAAGAAACTTCCATGAATTGTAGTTAGCTTTTACTTAACCATCGACCATATATATGTAAAAACAGGTAACAAATACTTAAGATAAAATTGAGAATGGAAATGGGGAATATGTCAAAGAAACAACAACCCGACCAAAGAGCAGACAACAGTCGAAGGCCACCAATGGGTCTTCAACGCAGCGAGAACATCACGCACCCGGAGGTGGTCCTCAGCTGGCAACTAAATAAAATTATGTACTGGTTCAGTGAAAATGGACGTCACACTAAACTCCATAACATATAAAGGAACTAAAATTAAAAAAACATACAAGACTAACAAAGGACAGAGGCTCCTGACTTAGGACAGGCGCAAAAATGCGGCGGGGTTAAACATGTTTTGTGAGATCTCAACCCTCCCCCTATATCTCTAGTCAATGTAGAATAAAGAAACACATAGCAATACGCACAGTAAAACTCAGTTTAAAAGAAGTCCGAGTCCGATGTCAGAATAGGTAACAAAAGAAACTAAGCAAAATGCATGACAATGATACATAAATTAACAAAGGACTACTAGCAGTTACTGACATGCCAGCTCCAGACCTCAGTTTAACTGATTGAAAGATTATGTCTTCATCATATGAAAATCAAGTACAATCCCTCCCGTTAGGGGTTTAGTATCATGCCATCATAAAATATACGAGAAGAACATAACCCGTATCATGCCAACAACTGGTTTTAGAATAAATGTGTTTATTTCCGATGCAAAGAACCCATGAGTGAATCAATATTAATACCAAAATATGCAATCCTTAATGACCTGACAACAGTATCGTAACTATATTCCTTCCGAATAAGTCTGTTTAAAGGTTTGGGTAGCTTTTGAGGTGAATGCCGACATTTTTGTGCTTTGTAAAGAATATTACTTCTAAGAAAAAAAAATATTAATCAAAAACCGTGTCAAACGCATCAGTGTTTGTTACGTACGTATTACACGCATGCTTACATTTTGAAAGTCCATTTATAACACATTTGATTCCGTGTCTTTGTTTCCCGAACATAAAGATGGTATATACAACCACTTTGACATGGCCACTTAAACTCTTTATTTTAAACATCATGCAGTCACAAACATTGAATACAAATAATTGAAAACGGTTAATGTCAAAACGGAGTAGGGTCATATGCTTCGACATGGTAACCATACCACATCTCCTTATTTTCATAAGTTATCACTGCATACATTCATCATATGATACTTGAGAAATCCAGAAGAAAGTGTCAAATCCATGAACATAGCCAAACCGATAAAAATATCAGATGACGATTAATGGACATATTTCAATTAATAAGTAAACATTTCACTATTGATTTTTAAAAATGATATACTGTTACAATCAATTATTTCATAATGTAGACCGAAATACTTTTGAAGTAATATTAAGTTTTGTTTTTTTTTCATAATCTGACGTGAGTAATTATGAAATTATGATAAACCTGGAATTATATAATAATAAAACACTTAATAGACTATAGCATTTCCTATCAGCTGTATGAAATTAACTTCGTCATGTTGTAAATTTGATTTGTCGAACAATCAAGGAAGAGAGACAATTGTAATTCTCAAAGCAAATTCTCATCTACCAACCGACTAAACCAACGAATATAATGATATATCTGCTTTAAAACAGTAAAGCTTAATATTGATATTTTTCATTTATGTTTTAAACCGGTAATAGTATATCAGGATATGGTATTCAGAGATGCTATTAAGTGCTGAATATATTTACGGAGTCATTTGATAAAATACTATATGTTGACATCTGAACCGTCATTGTGCATTCCTCTATAACAGAAAAACCTGAACTGCATCGTTTGGCCTATAACTAATGACACAAATCAATCTCGTAAAGATAACTATAAAAGGTTCCTGCAAACTAATTGTGTAATATCCAAAATAGGAAATCGACAAACTAAAAACAAAACATTGGCAGAAAACAAAGTACAATCACCAGACCACATCATTCGTGGTTTGGACATACATATTTATTATGTGGTCTAATTATTGTTGTTAAAATCTCACAAAAACTTCGATAGCAAAACAATGCAACACTCAGCAAACATTTATTTAGTTGACTCGATAGGACAACATATAAAAGATTAACAAGCAATAGAAAAGTCTACATTAAAATACTACCGTTATAATCGGTTCCGTTCTATTC